AGGAATGCCTGGACTCCCGGCCAATCCTGGGAAGCCCACATCGCCCTTTGAACCTAAACAAGAAAGACATATGAGCGCGCGGCAAAGCAAGGCAGAACGGCAGGCAGTGTCCTGAGTGTGGTCCTGGGAGGCGGCTCCACCCCAGCACCCCTCAGAGGGCCCCCAGGGCCAGCGGAAACTGGGGCAGGGGTTCTGTGCTCTGCCTCTGTCTCGACAACACACTGGGCTCCCAGAGAGAGAGCCAGGACTGCCGAGACCTGGCTATGGTTCTGCAGACTCTGAGACCATCGGCTGTGCTTAGAAAGGTCACAAGCGACACATGGCTGGGAAGGGCCCGTGCCGGCATCGTGTGGACGGAGCGGGCGGAGCTCCATCCACACCGAGGACCCACTCGGCGGAAAGGGGCGAACGACAGCTGCAAGGCGCAGCCCAGGTGAATCACGAACCCAGTGCCCCACGGGAAGGAAGCCAGCCCAGAGAGCACGTTTCTATGCAGTTCTAGAAAGCGCTGCTCTGTAGTTCCAGGAAGCAGGTCAAAGGCCGCCGAGACCCGGGGAGGGGGCAGATGGGCGGAGTTACATAGCACCACAGGCACTCCCCAGGTGACAGACACGCTCTCTTCTTGGGCGTGACGTTTCATGGCTGCGTGCACACACCAAGACTTATCGACCTGTACACTTCACATCTTAGCCTTATGTCTGTCAGTGATACCTCAACAGGCTGTTCTAAATGGTAAAACGTCAACGCGTGTAGGGGATAAAAACCTTGCTTAGCCTTGGCATACTACCCAAAACTTGCTAATAAGAATACCAAATGCTAGGCTAGTTCAAGGTTACTGAAAAAAAATGGCAAGAAAATGAAACACAGAGACGGAAAGCAGCCCATGGCCTCTACGGTTCCCGTTGTGCTGCAAGGCCAAGGAGCCAATCAGCGCCCGAATCGCTGTCGTGGGCAGGAGGGCGCACGGGCCATGCGGGACTGGGCAGCTGGGGGACGGGCTCTGCGGCAGGGCACGGGCACGCGGCCCAGCATCCACGCCGACCACCGGCCCCGGGCTGGTGAGCGCAGGGATCTGTGAATTATGGTGAAGGGGGAGAAGCCCCTTCTCAGTGGCTGGCCCTGCCCCCTTTCTGCCCTTGCTAACCCAGGACTGTGCACCTGGGCTGGTCTCAGGGCACAGGAGATGGGGTGTACGGGGTTCCTGCACTGCTTCTGCCGAGTAAGCAGCCCAGGCTGCCTGCACCGCTGCAGCCCAGACCTGACTACCACTTCCTGACCCCCAGAACCCCCATCCTCCCCCGACTGGTGCAGCATGTGCGCCCCCTCAGCCTGGGCCACGTGCTCGCTCGTCCATCACTCCGTGGCTCACAGCTCCTGAGGTTACTATGTCGCCTTTTCCTTCTCATGAAATGTGATGTCTCTGAGGGACAAGACGACATCTTTGAGCTCTACCAGCTCCCAGCTGTGCTCGGTGTTTAGCCCACGTGGTGGGAGGTTTGGAGCTGGCCTCAGAAAGTAACAGTTCCGATACTCCAGTGACTTCCTCATCTCAGTCACAGGCTCCCGGCCACCCCACTTTAGGAAGTGAGTCAAGTGAAAGTTTCTGTAATGCACTGTGCCACCTCAGGTGTGAACTAGATGCACACCGCCCTCTGCCCAGCGCACGCTGCCCCTGCAGGGGTGGCCTTGCTGACAGACTGGGCGGGGGCTGCGGACGCTCGTGCCTGCCCTGCCCGTGAGCCTGCAGCAGGGCGAGCTGAAGAGAAGAGCATGTTGAACAAACAGTACCTTTGTCTCCTTTGGACCCGGGAAACCCTGGGACTCCTCTTCCTGGTAGACCTATAAGATGAGGGTAAAAGCAGTGTCTCCTTCACTTGAACACTAGTCTTCAGGACTAGAACCAAGCAGAGCAACTCCATAATAAACCCACACGTATTTGTAAAATACGTGGAAGTTAGTTCATCGCACCTTCAGAAGGAAATTATATTACTACGGTTGTTATAAAATGCCCTTGACTGGGTATTTCTATTTTAGTGCTTTTTTTTTGGGGGGGGGGAGGTTTTTGCTATAGGGCGCGTGCTCTCGCCAGAAAGACAGAGAGAGACAGAGAGACAGAAAGTGAGAAATCACCCCCCAGGGTGAGGCCACGCTGTAATCCCTTCTCCATTCTCCTCTTGGGATCTTGGGCATGCATACACGCACTCGGCATGAGTTTAAGCTGCCGGGTCCGGGACTCGAACCACAGTCAGCTACGTGGAAGTCCAGCGACATAGCCATTATGCTAACTGCTGGTCCCTATTTTAGTGCTTTTTCCTAAATAGTTCGGAGCCATTATAGCAGAAGTGGTATATGCAAATGAGTCTATTTTCCACGATTGTCTGGAGATGAGCAAATTGGCTTTTCTCAAACCACGTTTCCCAACTATGTCCTGTGTTTAAAGAGGGTGGGAGAGTCAGACACGTAGGTGGCAGACCCTGGGCAGACCGCACATGTGAGCGAAGGGCTGGAGGTGAGAGTGTGAGAGAAGGATGGACACGTATCTTTGGAACTGTCTTCATAGGAAAATGAACGCGTAGCTCTAAGTAGAAGGTGTGGAGAATGAAAACGATGGCCGTAAGAAGGCCGGTGCGAGCAGCACGGGACGCCCTTGGCGCCCCTTCCTCTGCCTCCAGCTCAGGGCAGCCCGTTTCGGACTGTGTGTTTAGCACCTGCGTGCATGTCGTGTGAGAATTACTGCCTATGTGACTGTCGTCATCACAGCTGACAGCTGGCACTTCTGACCAAGTTGCAGCCCTCCCACAGAGACAGGACTAGATTCAGGGGCCAACAAATACCCAGGACTGCTTCTCGAATGGGAAAAATGCTGTGCAGAGGAGGGAGTTTTGTTTTGTTTTGTCATAGCAGACACAAGGGAGAACTCTTGGCGAGTACCATATTCTAAAAAAACAGTTTTCTGTGGCTCATCACTGAGGGCTCAGGTCATTTCGAGGGTAGGTGCCCATACGTATATGTAGAATAAACGAATACCCTCCTTTCCCCCTCTTTTATCCGACCCTGCCATTCACGTCCACACCGAGGTTTACACAGTTCTCAGACGTATGTGGAAGTGTTGCTCATGCCCAGCGCTGTCCACATAACGTGCAGTGTCCAGGAGCAGACGATGCTGGTTCTGAAGGACTAGGAAGGTGGGACATACCTGGTTCGCCTTTCTCTCCTGCTGACCCTGGGATTCCATCACTGCCCGGCTCCCCTTTCTGGCCAGCTGGGCCCATGGGGCCAGGTTTCCCAGGAAGGCCTCCAAGACAAAGGTCACATCAGTCACTTACATGAAATGGTCAGTTTCTGCCATTCTATCGGGGAGCTGCTCCCCTCCCTTCTGAGCATGGCTGGCTCCCCCCAGGCTTTCTGCCATCCCTTCAGAAAGGATCCTCCATGCTGTTAGCAGTAACATGGACCCCAGCCCACAGAAGCTGGTGAAATGGAAAAGAATTACTAAATGTTCCCTTGCTAGGAACAGTTAGGAGATTCGGGGCCCTAGCTCCCAACAGTGGTAGGATCTCAGAAACACCCCATAAGCCTCTCCTGGAGCTTGGCTGTTCGAGAGGTGGGGGAGGACCAGCTGGCCCTCACCCCCTGCAGCAGCGTCACAGGGGCTGGTGCACACTGTGCTGGAAACTCCCTGGAGGCCGATTTCCTATCCCTGGCTGCTCCCCACTGCCACCCAGTGCATTCTGAGGAGGGCCTCTACCTGACTCTCCTTTGGCTCCAGGAATGCCATCCAGTCCCGGCAGGCCTTTGTCACCTTTTTCTCCAGGCAGCCCAGGATTCCCTAAGGAAGAACAAAATATCAGACTGCGCTTCAGCTACGCTTCCCTTTGTCTTCCTCAGAGCTCACACTGGGGAAGTAGAATTCATTTACCTGGGTAGCCGACACTCCCTGGAGACCCCTTCAGGCCTGGAGACCCTGGAATCCCTGGGGTCCCAGTGCTGCCCTTCTCTCCCTTCTCTCCGGGGCTTCCGGGGAAACCTGCCATCCCTCGGTCTCCCTGCAAGTGAAACAGGCATCTTGATTCCACACATGTCCCAGGACGTGTCATGGGCACATTCTGGAGAAGAGGGTACATTCTGGGGCAGTGAACACGGCATTGCAGAATTCCACTTCCAGATTTTTCACCAAAGAATCAAAGCACACTTCTGAGGGAACCAGCAGTTAGCATAACGGCTATGTTGCTGGATTCCCACATAGTCGACCGCGGTTCGCGGCCCGGACTCGGTGGCTTAAAACTCACCCCGGGCGTGTGTGCGTGTGTGCCCAAGACCCCGAGAGGAGAATGGAGGAGAAGGGTTTGCGGCATGACCATCCCCCCGGGGGGTGAGATTTCTTGCTTTCTGTGTCTATGTCTCTGTCTGTCTGTCTGGCGAGCGCACGCGCCCTATAGTGAAAATCTCTCCCCAAAAAAAAGCCCACTTCTGAGAGCAGAGGGAACTTAAAAGCCAGTCGGCTGTCTTGGTCTACCTGCTGTGTTCTTCTTTCTGCTCCTCTGCCCTTTTTTCCTCTCGGAATAGCTCACGCCCTCCCCCAGCTCTCGCCAGTTTCTAGATTCTCCCCTGGGGGCTGGTAGAGAGCAGAAGGAGGGAGAGGAGCCCCACTGCACTGGGGCCCGAGAGCTCTGATGCACCAGATATACTGACATACTCGCAAGTTTCTCACGAGGCAGCTCCTTCTGGGCGGGAGGGACAGGACAGGGCCATGTGGGAGGCGCTCACCTTGTCACCAGGCCGCCCGGGAATCCCGATGCCAGGCAGACCCGCCTGCCCTTTCACTCCTTTTGCTCCTTTCTCTCCGGGTAAGCCAGGGACCCCCTGCGGGCCAGGGATGCCAGGTGCACCTTTTTCTCCAGGTGTTCCTGAAATTGCAAACGATCGAAGCAGCGATACGGGGTCAGCTGGTGCTAATACTAAAAATAAAGCAGCACCTCGACAAGCAGCCAGGAATGAAGTAAGAGACTGCAACTGCTTTCTGCAGAAGACCCAGCTGCATTTCAATCACCCCATCACGTCAGAGGCAAGAGGTTTCTCTTGTCCTTTAAAGGCCGTCGTTTTTTGAGAGAGAGAAGAAATAGATGAACTGCTTCAAATATTTCCTTTCTTGACAGTCTAAAAGATAGCTGTCATGTCCATTGCTGTAAACCAACTCTCGGTAGTCAAACGAGTAGGAGGGATAGTGAAGGGTAAATGGAGACTCAGTTCTGAAAGGTGCCTGGGAGCCAGACCTAATTATAAATAGGTGTAAATGAGCTAGATGCTTCTATTCCAAACACAAGGCTTACAGCACCGTGTGAAGACTTAGGAGAAGACGCAAAGAACCGTGAGCCTTTCTAGGTGGGTCCTGGGCCACAGTACCTGCTGACCCGTCCTCAGCAGACTCCCTCGGTTCCTGCCCTCGTCCCTTCTCTTTCTGCCCACTATCACTGGGGAGCACTCAGGGCGAAGTGAAGGCCAGTGCAGGGCAGGTGGGGGAGTTGGGGATCCTCCTGACCTGACGGTAAGGGCTTAGATCACCCACATGGAGAACCGGACACTTTCTGGGGAGACACTAGCCAAGTGGATGAGTCACTTGGAGATAATCAGGAGTTGACGGTGTATGTATGGCCCACCATGTTTTATTCTGTCAAATGGGAATTTCAGCCATGGCCATACCATCACCATAGCGCCCTCCACCCCTAACCGGAGCCCGCACAGAGCTGAGGGCATGAACTCATGCAGGCGACGCGATGGCCTGGACCGTGCCCTCTGTCGGGCTCTCATTCTGCATGTGCGCCCGGCCAGTCCCCTGCACCTGTGCAGACTTCCTCCCAAACCGCTTACCTGGCAGGCCCATTCCACCGACTGATCCTTTCGGTCCAGGAAGTCCTGGAGCACCTGGGGTTCCGCTTATACCTGGATCGCCTTTAGGTCCTAGAGGAAGAAGGAGACGGGAGTCCAGCAGGTGGACGTCCATGGAGAGAGCTGGGGCCCCTCCTCAGCATGAGCGCCCCAGTACCTTGCTGTCCAGGCTGCCCGGGTTGCCCATCCTTTCCAGGAACTCCTGGGCTTCCAGGATCTCCTCGGGATCCTTTATCACCAGTGGGTCCGACTTGGCCTACATACCAGAGGGAAGTGACAATGACCATGTCTGCATCAGAAACCAACCGGGACAAGATGCAGGCTGGCCAGGTGCTGCGTACGGAGGGCAAGCGCCCTGGTCAGGCCCCCCGTGGGCCTCGGTGGCTCAGGGCTTGCCCCAACGCACCTTTTTCTCCTTGGTCTCCCTTCTGCCCCTTCATGCTGCCCATGTCCACTTTGTCCATTGACCCAGGCTTGCCAGGGAGGCCCACGTCCCCCTTATCGCCTTTGAAGCCTGGATCTCCCCTGGGTCCTGAGGATCCTGGGAAGCCATGGTCCCCTGCAAAGGAAGAAGGTGCCCAGTGAGAATTGGCCCTGTATCAGACTGGGTGGCAGCGTTTGGCATTCTGTCAAAGAAGGCCGAAGGGACTAATGGCCTGTCCATAAACATTAGCTGGCCAGTGCCTAAGTGCATGGGAGAGCTGACCCCAGGTAAACGAGCCCCGAGAGCTTTCTCAAATTCATGGTTTGCTCCCAGTTCTCCTACTAGCTAGAGAGCTTTTCATGGTTTGCTCCCAGTTCTCCTACTAGCTTGTTGGTCCTAGGTGATGTACACGTTCTCCTTCCTAAATGCCATCCCTGTTACTGGCCCCTCGTCCCACACAGAACCACAGAACGGGGGCTGTCCTATCTACTAAACTCCCAGGTCTCACAGTGAAAGTCAACGTCTTCAGAAAGAATGTTCGGACTCATTTCAAGTAACACATTATGAAATAAAATGAGGGCATGCAAATTTACCACTTCAGAGTTCAGCTCTAAGGAACTGGCTCCTGAGCCCTCTCACCACTGAAGAGTCCCCCATTTCGCATAAAAGGAATCTTGGCTGCACCAGGAAGCACGGCCCGTCTTCTCCTGGTTCCCCGCGTGCTCAGCAGGACCCAGGCCTTAGTCCCCGGCACCCGCGTGTGCAGTCCCAGTGGAAGGAGGCCCGACCTCACTGGTCATGTCATCGGCCTTTTGAAATGAGCTACTGTGACCACTTGCGCATTCCCCAAAAGACATCAAGACATGGACGAGCTTTCTGGAATTCTCAGCTTTCTCACCTTTTTCACCCGGTAATCCTGGAGTGCCCACTGGTCCTGGTGATCCCGGCTGCCCGGGGGTCCCCATGACGCCCATTTCTCCCTTGGGACCTGCGACCAAACAGAAGGACGGTGACGTCCCCTTAGCAGAGCAGCAATGGCAAACGCTGAGGCGTTACACGAAGGCGTGAGGCCCATCCCCATTCTTGGTCCAGAAAGCAGCTCAGAAGCCATTTACCTGGAAACCCGGGCAATCCAGGCGTCCCCTGCTGTCCAGGAAGGCCAGGGAGCCCCGACTGTCCTGTCAGGCCGGGAAGCCCTTGGGCTCCTTTGTCTCCTTTGGGGCCTGGCATGTCGAGTCCGGGGAATCCGGGGAATCCTTTCTCTCCTTTGATGCCAGGGGGACCTGAGGGTGGGTGGAGCGCAAGGAGCATTATCAGAACCCTGGCGTGCTTTGCAGTGCGCTTCACCCTGCCTCACAGGTGCTCTCTGCAGAAAGCACGTGGCCACACCCACATTGGGGTCTGGGACACCTCGAAGACATGGTGTCAGCAGTCATCAAGGCACTCGGGATGAGCAATGTCCCAAAAGAAAAAACTCTTTTCTGTCATTAATAGCGACACCACGCAAAGTCCCCCGCCCAGCCTCCCCGCGGTCCTCCAAACGGTGACCTCCAGGTCGACTTCGCATGGCCTGTTTCACCCTCTGCTGCTTCGCCATCTCAGCTCTAGGGTGACGATGATGACGGGTTTTATCTCTGCCATAGGGCGGCTTGTGCCCCGCAGGAGGGATGACCACGCCATAATCCCTTCTCCATTCTCCTCTTGGGATCTGGGACAAGCATGCACACGTGCCCGGCATGACTTCCAAGCAGCCAGGTCTGGGACTTAAACTGCTATTAGCCATGTGAGACTCCAGTGCCTTCACAGCCACGACACCTGCTGCCTCTAATTTTTTTTTTTTTTTTTTTTTTTTGAGAAATTTTCACCATAGGGCGCATGCACTCACCAGACAGACAGAGAGAGACATAGAGACAGAAAGCGAGAAATCACCCCCCGGGGGGATGGTCACACCACAATCCCTTCTCCTCCATTCTTCTCTCAGGATCTTGGGCACGCATGCACACGTGCCTGGCGTGAGTTTTAAGCCACCGGGTCCAGGACGCAAACCACGGTCGACTACGTGGGAGTCCAGTGACATAGCCATTACGCTAACTGCTGGTTCCCGCTGCCTCTAATTCTAAGATCATTATTAAAGGCAAAGCTGGCGTCTAGGCTCGAACCTAACTATCCACAGTTTACCAACCCTCCTGAAAGATAGCAGAGGGCCATCGTTTTGAGTAAAATGTCCAAGCTATTGAACAGAAAGGAGAGGTGCCTTCTGCAGCACCCAAGCTGGGGTGCGGGGAAACAGACGACTACGTCTGCACAAACACCACACTAGTCCCTTAGCTGGGCTTACTGTCCTCCCCTTATTTAATTCTGCTTCCCTCCCCGTCACATAGACTCCAGCGCCATCTTTCTCCCACCGCGCGCATGCCCTGAGAAGAGAGAATTCTAGAAGAGACAGACACATTACCTGATGACCCCGGCGGTCCCTGACCTCCGGGGGGGCCCATAGCGCCGGGGGGGCCGAGTCCTGGAGCTCCTGGAGATCCTACAGGGCCTTGCAATCCAGGAGGCCCTGGGTCACCTGAGGAGGGGGAAGGGAGTGAACGGTGCAGGGACCCCTGCATGTGCCACAGCCCACTGCCCACATGTTCCCCAGGTCAGACGGCAGGAAGCCTGACCTGCCAGGGCTGGGGACTAAGCACCTGGCGGTGCTCGGAGACACACAAGCGGACATGCCCGGCCCCGAGCCGTCCAGATGGCCTGTGCGGTTACCTCTGATGCCCTGAAGCCCAGGGGGTCCGACAACTCCATGCTCTCCGGGCACGCCTGGGCCCCCGACGTTCCCCTTCTCCCCAGGTGTGCCAGGGATGCCGGGGAGACCTGGCAGTCCTTTGAGTCCCGGTAAACCAATTCCAGGCTCACCCTGAAGATTCCCAAAGCATGGAGAAGCAAAGTCAGAATGCTTAGGGGCCAGCGGCATGAGCAGAGGCCGCCGACACCACGCGCTCGGCAGGAGTGGCCTCCGTTCACCCCTTCCGAAATCTCCTGACGTTTCCTTACACTCAGTCCTTTTCAATCTCACCACAAGCCCCAAAGGCAGGGACCCGTGTTTTACAAAAAAGGAAAACCAAGCTTCCAGACATAGGCAGCCCCACCACGGAATTACGGAATTACGGGGCCGAGGCCGGCAGAGCTGAGCGGAGAAGCGCTGCACTCAGCCCCGTGGCCAGTGGCTTTCTAACAGCGTCTGCCTGCCACTTACAACGGAAACACATTTTACACCGAGGCCCCGCAGAAGCACATGAAAGAAAATGTCATAAGATTTCATAAAATGGAAACAAATGATTCTCTTCAAAATATTCCATGCCACGTGCTCTGAGCTCTGAGAACTTCATGGTTGAGAAGCCACACTGTGTGCAGTTGACACCAGGTGCGGGGAAAGGGCCACTGACCACGACGTGCTCGATACCCACCTTCTGGCCCGGTGCACCTGGGCTGCCAGGCAAGCCATTAAATCCTGGGCGACCCGGGGTCCCCGGAGGCCCCACATCTCCAGGCAGGCCGTCGACACCTGTTTCCAAGGGTTTAAGAGACATCACCGCAAGAAGCCCATCCCCACCTCCTCCTTCGCTTCTGCACTTCCCCAGCGCACTGCGCCGGGTGGAGAGGGTGGGCAGGAGGAAGCCCTTCAGGTGACTCTCAGAGGGGAGCTGAGGCCGCCCTGTCCTGAGGTGCGGTGCGATGCTGCCCCTTCCAGTCCCGCGCGCTCTCTCCCCATCACATCTACGCTTTCTTCCTTGTCTGACTCACTTCAAACTCGGCTTTCCTGTCCTGTTCCCCAGGGAGGCAGGGAGCCCTTGGCTGCCCGCCAAGACCCCACAGATGGTGTCCCCACAGCCTCTGTCACAGCTGCAGCTCGGCCACACCCGACCTGTTTCTAACCAGACCCAAGACCCCGACGGCCTTCCTACCGCTCTCAGGGAGGACACAACACCGGGCCCAGGGCTTACCTTTGGGACCTGGGGGCCCCGGAAACCCGATCCCTGGCTGGCCCACAGCACCCTTCTCTCCAGGCTGGCCTGGCCTGCCCGGAGCTCCGGGAAAGCCTCGGTCACCTGTGGGAGAAAGAACAGTCAGGGCGGGATTCCACATGAGCAGCGCCCACGGCAGCCACAGCGGTGAGGTCAACCTACCTTGGGGTCCTGGGAATCCTGAAGAACCCGGAAGGCCGTCTGCCCCAGGGGGCCCAGGTAAGGGCACGACCGCCCCCGCTTCACCCTTCGGACCTGGGGGAAGGCAACACCAAGCAGGTGTGAGTGACCACACCGCTCCCACTGCACAACTGCTCGGTGTGTGTGTGCCACGACAGAAGAGCCTCCGTCCACATGCCTCGCCTCTCCCTGCTAGGTTTCTAGAATCTTTCAAATGAAAGCTCCTCTTCTTCCCAAAACACACCTCCGAAATCTCTGAGCTACTTGATTGACACAAGAATTCCCTAAGAGTCCATATCCGAATCAGGAAAAGCTAAAAAAATCTACACTAACAGAAAACGGGACGGCCTTGGGCAATTTCTTAATTAGCCCACCTTGAGAATCAAAACACGCCACTGCTCTTCCTCAGCATTTCAGACAGCCCACTTCCGCGTTGCCCCCGGGTGGACCTCAGTTCCATCATCCTGCAGTAAACCCTCCAGTGGGGACAACACGATTCGTGGTGGCCACGCGTCACCCACTCTCCGGAAGGCACAGCCAGAGTTCACCCAGGCGTCTGGGCCTGGGAGGGCCACTGGGTGTGGGGGTTCAGCTGCTGAGACAGGCCAGTGGGATCAGGAATCCGTGTAGGAGCCCTGCATTACCTGGAAGAGTCAGGATGTGCGGGCCTCCCAGAACAGCCTGCACACGCCTTAGCTAGGACTCTGGACATGCCCGCTGACTGAGCAGCAGGCCGCACGCCCCCGCAGGCCAGCTTCGCGGTCACCAGGATTAACGCAGCTCCCACGTCACCGCAGGTCAGCTTTGTGATCGAAAAGCGGGGGGTCTGGAGGCCCAGGACCCCAGAGAGGGTGTCTGATCAAGGGCATTGCGGACCCCCAGAGGTGAATGCATCCCCTCGGTTTTTCTGTTGGTAGTTTGTAGCCAAAAGGAAAGCGATTCCTTCCCACAGCTCTGCAGGCACAGCTGCCGCCGGTACAGAGGATCGACTCGTTCATGCTGGAATCAGGAGCCAGGAGGAGAGTGACCCCAGTTCCCTTCCCCAGTTCTGCAAGGGTTGTTCTAAACCAAACCCTCGAACCCAGACTTCCCTGCCTCCGAAGGACTCCTAAAGACACGCATGGGGCCCTCGCTGGACAGAGCCGCTCTCGGTGGGACTGGAACTCGGTGCTAAGTACTCAGTGAGTGCACAAACAAGACTACGGCGAGGTTCGGACACAGCACCCTCCGCCCTTGGACTCCCAGCAGAGCCCACCAACGATTCCTATGTGGAACGCTTACGAACTTTACACCATGTCTTAATAAGGAAGTCACAGTCCCTGATGGGGACAGGAAAACTTGGGCTAAGTGGGTGGCTGGGGCAGAATCCGCAGAGGAGTGAGCCCAGAGGTCAGAGTGCGAGCACCTCACGTCGCTCTGCTGGATACTGTGATGACCCTGCTAGTAATGACTGTATTTTTCAAGGGATTTTTCACTTTTTTTTTTTTTGAGAAAGATTTTTGCTATAGGATGTGTGCACTCACCAGAGAGAAAGAAAGCAAGAAACCACCCCCGAAGGGGGATGGCCAGGCCTCAGTCCCTTCTTCTCCATTCTCTTGTCAGGATTTTGGGCATGCACACACACACGCCCAGTGTGATTTTAAGCTGCCCATTGCGGACTGGAAATGCAGTCGACTGCCTGGGAGTCCAGCAACGTAACCATTACGCCATCTGCTGGCCCTGTCTCATCTTTCTAATCACTCCAAGTCCTTTTAAAAACGTCCTATTAACACACACTCCCTTCCCTCCTCTACACACAATGCATCCCTGGCTGCTCTTCCCCTTCCCGGGCTTTCTAGGGAATGGCAGGACCGCCACGTCTTCCTGGGACCACGTGCAGCTAAGGACTGTGCAGGTGACAGGTTTTGCACTGTGTCCCTGCCAGAGGACGGGGTGCAGGACAGCAAGGACACAACCGTCTCGCCACCAACTCGTCAACACTTAGCACTGCGCTTGGCACACAGACCACTCAGGGAGTCAGCACACGGCTGAAACCAGCAGTTAAACAGCCACTGTGAGGCTGGGGCTCACTGTAGAGTCGGTCCCAGGAAGGTGGTGGCCCTGCTCAGGGCACATAGAGGCCCAAACGGGTGGCTGGTCAGGGAAAAGCAGGGGTCTGACCAGTATGTGGAAGGCTGACTCCAGCCGGGCCGTACCTACCCACTTAGTGATGAGGAAAGCCATCTGTAAGATGCGACTCTGCAGACAGACCCCACGCTCCCTGCCCACATACGCGGGACGGAGAGTCCCAGGCAGGACTCGCCGAGGTCACGCCCCTTCCTGGAAGGACTGAAACCCATGCCTGCCTCTGTGTGTCTGAGCCCCATGCAGAGCTTCGAGGGGCTCGGGCCTCACCTGGCAGGCCTGGGGAGCCAGGGCTTCCAGGGAAGCCTGCTTGTCCTTTGTCACCCACAGGGCCAATAGGACCAAACCCTGGGGGCCCTGGGGGGCCGACGTCACCACGGCTGCCAGGGAATCCGACTCCTCCAGGGGGGCCTCGTTCTCCTTTCAGTCCTACTGAGCCCTGCGTGAAAGGGGGAGACCGTTATCAGCTGATGGCCCACACCCAGGCTGCAGTCTGTCCTCTGCAGGGAAAACAAACAGTTATTTACCCACCAGTTATTTACCCTCCCCCCCGAGGCCGGCCTAGAGTTAATCCGTGACACTGACAGTCCTTTCTGTAAGCTGAGTAGTCATTCTCCTCCCTTGCCCTGAGTAAGGAGGGAGGCTTCAGAGAGTGGTGTAGTCAATTACATCTGGAACCTTCTTTTACAGGAGAGCGTCAACACTAACACTTGGGTTTTTGTCTCCCATCCGAGGGGAAAAGCGTATCTGCTCCCCACACGTGAACGATCAAGTCCATTTACACCGACCACCGGCCAAGTGGGGGTGGGGAGCATTGGCACGACCCAAACCATTCGCTTCCGTGTCCTTGGCAGACCCACATTACAACGCGCGTGTTTGAAGGCTGGAAACACGTACCGGGGAGCCCTTGGGGCCAGGAAGACCTGGGTGGCCGTCTCTCCCAGGCAGGCCTGCTCTCCCAGGCATCCCAGGCTGTCCTGGAAAACCTGGGTCTCCTTTGTCCCCTTTGAGCCGCAAGTCGAAATAAATCTCTCCAGGTTCGCCCTTGGCTCCAGGCTGGCCCATCAGCCCTGGTGCACCTTGCGGTCCCTGTAAGAACAAAGCCTCGTGAAGCCACAGAAGAATCCACCCACGGTACACAGCAACGTGATGATGGCACACAGCAACGGAATGGGGAAGGCTTCCCGAGGGAGCTGGTGTGCTCAGTTCACTTTCTTTCAAGCCACCAGCTCTGTGACTCCGCCCTGTCTGACCTCACTGCTGTGTATTTCTCTAATCTTTCTCGGGTATTCCAAACGGAGACCGATGGTATCAGGCGTCCACGTCTTAGAAAGGCCCCGTAGGACCTACACACTGACGAGCAGAGCAGGGCGCTGCCGCGGGAGTCGGGCATGCGCCCACACACCAGGGCCGCGGCTCTGTGGGTGGGCAGTGGTTGAGGTGCCAGCCGAGGCCAGGAGCAGCCATTGTTCTCCCAGGGCAGTCCTAACTGAGACCCCTCGGGTTTCCTCTTATGCTCAGACCCCGAATTCCGGGAGATAAGGACGTCCAGGGCACCACTGAGAGGGACCTCTGGGAAGTGCGCAGGAGGCCAGCGCTGGAATTAGGGGTCGGGGAAGTCGCTTGGGCTCCCCCGAGACACACAATGCAACAGCTTTCAGTTAAAGTCGGATCCGCACAAAAGGCCAGTGCTCGGCAGTGGTGGCTCCTCCAGCCTCCCTGACAGCGTCGTCCATGGGAAACTGGCCACGGCTTCTAACTGCCAGTCACTCACTCTGACAAAGCCAGCTGCAGAGCCCTGCTCACCTGGCAGAACCTACACCCTCAACAACTCAGCTCATCTGAATCCTTTTCATCAACTTCCACTAGAAAGGTTCTCAGATGTGTGCAAATCACACACACACACACACACACACACCCTCTGTACAGATCTCTCAGAGAAAGAAGGTGGAAGATCAGACAAAGGCCCAGATTCCTCGCCTTTAACTCTGTGAGGAACACATGACTCAGCAGATGAGGAAGCTGATCCCAAAAGACGCTGGGTGATGCGTAAAAGACCACAGAGAAAGCGCAGGCGCTGGGGTCCCAGACCATCCAGTTCTGGCTGCAAACCCTCCTTCAGCCCGGCACCAGTTGAGTGCCACGAGCGCCAGGAGCTCCCAAAGACAGACGTGGAGCCAGGGCTCGGAGTGGATCTGTGGGCTGTTCTGGTCAGGCACACGGCTTCCCTGGGACTAGCCCAGACGGCTGGCTTCCTTTTCTGCCATATGCATGCAGGGGGTTCAAACAAGGCGGCCGAGCATGGGGACAGCCACCTCCCGCACTCCCTGGGCGGGCAGACCGCCTCCCGGAGACACGACCAGACCACCCAGCAGCTACCGAGGGTCCAGGGTAGGCGTGGGCAGTAGGTGGCAGCTCTCTACGGTCCAGTACTATGCAAAATTTCAAGTTAAAAACACGGAAACTCCAGTTTCTCACTCAGGCCGGCCACATTTAAAGAGCCCAGTGGCTAATACCAGCCAGCAGCTACCAATGTGGGCCACGCAGGGAACATCTCTGCTGTGGTAGGAAGGTCTCCGGGGCAGCGGCACCTGGTGTGGGCCGGCCCGAGCTGGCAGTACCCTGAGGATCTAGTAATAGCCAGGGAAGTCAAGCGGGGCCTGGTCTACGAGTGCTCCCCTGAGATTCCAGAGAAGCCTTCCACCAGTACCTGGCCAGAAATTCTGGCAGAGAGGCCCGGAAAGCCCAAGAGCTAGCTGGAAGGTGCTGTGTGTTTAGATGGCTTCTCCGGGTTGTATGGACCCTGTGCAAATGCGAGCCCCTCCGAGTCTGACCCTCTGTGAGCCCTTCACACGCAGGCTGCCTCCTGCACTAGCGGATGGCCTCCTGCAGGGGGTTCGGCTCCCTGGGGGCTCTGCATTGCCGCCCTCTCTCTGCTCCTGCTTTGGGGCTCTGTAGGAAGGACCAGAGCTTTCTCTCCTGTGTCTGATGTCTGTAACGAAGGAGATATTGGGACAGCTACTTGGTGGTGATTGTCCTCAGCCCCCACGTAGACAGCTTCCCAATACGGTGACCTCGGGTGAGAAAGCGCCACTTCACTGCAATAGGATGACTCGCCAGCCATCGTTTTGTAAAAGGAAGAAATCTAATTTTTGCTAAAAGCGACCTCCGTGATCCTGTGTCTCCCGTGGCTTCTTTGCCCCCAAAGCCTCTTTGTC